AAATAAATAAAAAAGTAACAAAAAAAAAAATATTTTGTTTTTCTTATTGATATTTTATGTCCAAAATCAGTTAACTGTAAGTTAGTTGACATCTAATGCAGAGGAAACCAGTTCTCACTATTTTGCGGACATCGCCCTTCAAAAGTAGTTAGTTACGGCCAAGGGAAATAGTTAATAAATAGTTACCACTAGTCGACTACTAGTTAGTTAATAGTTAGGTATAAACTAATCCCATTTCCTGCATGGTACATACTCGTATGTACATTTTTTTGTAATATTAACCAAGGAGGCTTATGCACGTAATTTGACAATTCTAAGTCTATTTTCAAAATTTATGTTATACTTTTCTTGGAGTCTTTAAAAATTATACCAATTTCTTTTACCAAAGAAACGTTTTCAAAATGCATATAAGCAAAATAAAACTTTTTCAAGACCCTTGTGGACTTATTGCCTAAAATTTCTCCTTTCCTTCCCGATTAGCGAATGGGCTGATTTTTGCAAGAAATTAGACATTAATTTATTTTATAAATATTTACCATAGAATTCCTGAACTTTTAGTTTTTGTTGGAACATAAAAATTTTTCAATTATTAGGTCTATTACTGTCAAAAGAATTTCAGATTGCTCAAAGAAGCGAAATATAAGTTTAAAAAAAAATAAATAATTTTAGGTTAAATATGTTGGCATTACGCATACGTGGCTTTTAAAAAAATGGTTCATTAGCTAGCCCAAATTGCGGCACAATTTTTATCCAAAGGGATAAACGAGTTTTAGAGGTGGAGAGTTCAAAAACAAAATGTAAAGTAATTTATGACCTAATATATTTTAAATATTAATGACCATGATATATGTAAGCACCTAGTAATTATTATTGTTATTTTTTTAAATATTTGGAATCTGAAGCGGGAAATTTCGTACAAAATCGGAGAGATTTCGCGGCAAATTCGGGGACAGTATACAAGTCAGTTGGCTGCCCGGCTTTACGGTGATGTGCGTATTATACCTGCCAATGGGTTCTGTAGTATTTCGCTATCAGTATCATGTTTGTTTTCAACGACCCACAAGGCGCTTTTCTAAGCGATTCGCCATCGCTTTCCACAAAATCCCCTTTGTAAATTGTGTTTATATTTTTAGAAAGAGATAAAATCGTGTTCCCCTAAGTGAAAGCAACTTCTAAGGCGTCATTGAATCGCTTACAAAATCGCCACATGTAAATGCTGCTTTAGGGATTTCACAAAATGTTGTATGCTCTCATATTGTTATAGATCGTATTTTCATAACATTACTAACGAAGTTCCAAAACTTTACGATGTACAACATTACGACCAGTGATGTTAAGCGTTTCAAATACAAATTATAAAATGCGTAATTGTATTTTGTATTTAAATACATTTTTACAAGAATATTTCGTATTTGAATTTAAAATACTTACGTATTTTGAAATACTCGGTCTATTCTTCATTATTTGTCATATCATAAAGTTTTGCTGTACAAGACTGTCATTCCTTTTTTTAATTTGAAAATCTCCTTTTTGGGTTATCAAAAATGTAAGAAGGTCATACGAAGCGCAATAAACAAATTACCAATTTACTCATTCTCTTTCTTCACTTTTTCATTGCAACAAATAAAGAATTTTTAATATTTTTATTGAGCTTTGTACCACGATTGTTTATTAGGAAAAATTGAAAAAGCAACAAAGTCTAAGCGGTAGAAGTTATAGCACCTATTTCGAAGATCACCACATCTCCTCATCAAACTTCTTTTTTCTAGACTTCAGCAGGGATCGAACCTGCGTAATCGATGTGCAAAGTCAGAAGCGTTAACCACTGAGCTATGTACACTCCGTAAACTCTTGTACATAGTTTAGGAAGAGCTTGCCTGAAACTATACAAAAAAGCAAATAAGCAAATGGGTGTATAGAATTGACAACAACCACGCTGTCGAGTTTAAATAGCGGCAAATCAGCTGCACTTGATAGTAGTTGGTTGAATAAGGAAAATTAAATAGCAACAAGAGTTTACGGGGTGTACATAGCTCAGTGGTTAACGCTTCTGACTTTGCACATCGAATACGCAGGTTCGATCCCTGCCGAAGTCCAGAAAAAAGAAGTCTGATGAGGAGACGTGGTGATCTTCGAAATAGCTGCTATAACTTCTACCGCTTAGACTTTGTTGCTTTTTCAATTTTTCCTAATAAACAATAGCGGTACAAAGCTCAATAAAAATATTAAAAATAAAATGTTAATAAGCCACAATAACATTGAAAAATAAAGAATTTTTGAAGCTTCTGTTATCCAGCCAGCAGAGAAACGTACTTTTTTCCGAAAAACGTTCAGAAAACGATTTCCATATTTGTTAATTTTTCGTATCCGAAAAATGTCATCATCTCATTTCAAAACAATAATTTTAAAATATTTGTTCAAACTGAGCATTTGATAACATGAGTGTACAGAGAAGTGTGCTACTATTTGTTAGCTTTCAGGGGGTCCTAGGTTCGAATTCCGTCAGAAGCAACACATTAAAATTATTTATTCAAATTGAAATAATTGCTGAATCTTAAAATTGTTTTTTGTTTGGTTTCCAGTAACTATGAAAAAGTTTCTGTGAAGTTCATAATGAAATCGTTTTCAACGAAAAATTGAATCAGACAAACTTCAGGAAAACAGCCGAAAGCGCATCCGTTTTACAACCATTTTCGATAGTTTTCTGCACATACGTTTCGGCAGAACACTTTAAGGGGCAATTGATCCGAAAAACGTCCGAAAACGGAATCGGAAAACGGATGAAACATCAGGTTTTTATACGATATTGTTTTCATTTTCGGATACGTTTCCGGATATTGTTCTGGCTGGATAGTTACGGCCTTTTGTTTGTAGGAGGGATTTCTAAATTATTTTCAAATGTATTGTATTTTGAATTTAAATACTTTTTGTAATAGTAGTTTATATACTTTTTTGTGACGCATTTGTATTTTGTATTTAAATGTTATTTAAAAAGTATTTTTAACGCCTCTGATGACGACAGTATACAACTCACTGTGAACTCCCTATTTTTTACAACTTTTTTATCTACGTTTCCTTAGTTTAATACCAGTAAACTAGTGATGCGTGTTTAGCCGAAAAAATTATATCCTCTCCTGGTAATTAAAAAAGGATGCTTCCATTCAACTATGTTGATGCATAAGCCGCGAAGTGGATTTTTTAATCCTAAACAGAATAAAACTCTTTGAGGTCGGTCAGGTTGTGGTTTCGCCCCTCGTCTTTGCGGCCGCTTTTGTGTAGTCGTATTAGTTGCTGTCTTTTGTTGATTGATTCCACCAACAATGGTTGTGCCGTTTATTGTTTCAGGAATGTTTGATGTTCCAATATGACCATCGGCGCCTATCGGACCATTTGCTGTAAATAGTAAAGACGTTATATTAAAGAATGGTACAATGATTTAAATAAACATATTAATGAACAATCTAAAGCCGATTTGAGAATAATTGATGGAATCAAGAATTGATTAAGGAGGAACAACGGAAATTTTGTAGAAATTTTGCATTTTTTCGTTGTCTCTCTATAAAAGCTGTATATTTTTTGTACTAAGACTTTTAACTTATTATTCTGAACATAACAACTCTGATTTTTGTTTACAAGTCTTTAACCTGTGTCTTCTCAGAAAACAATCATCAATTATGACTAAATAATAATAGAAAAGTAGTGAAAAGGGATTAATTATACATATCGCACACCGTCTTCAAAGGAGTCACAACTCAAAATTTGGCATTTTTTAGATTATGCGCTAAAAATGTACGCAGAGCAAAAAAACCTTAGGTAAAGTCTCCCTTGTCCATATGATTATCATGTGCTAAGAAATAGTTTTTCGCATTTTCTGACAAACGTATTATTTTGAGTTGTGACTCTTTTGGAGACGGTGTACGATCGTACCTCTACTTATTATGGCACAATTAATTACCCCATTTTATTACCGGACCATTCATCACAGCAAATTTTATTACAACGTAATTAAGTACGACAAAATTCATTACTACATAATTTAATTACAGCTATAATGATTTTTATTTTTCGAGTTTAACGAATAAAAATCGATTTTTATCGAATAAAAATAATGACTATTTTCTTTCATTTACTATATCTCGCATTACGATTATTTAATTAAAGAGATATACTTGATTAAGTGGAACCACTCTTTTTTTTAAGCTCAATAACGGTAAATTGCAAATATATCAAAAACGTATCCATACAAAAATAAATTAACTCGATTTTCGGAATCAGCGAGCGGTTCTACGTACAAATTGGATAGTGGCATCTGGAGAACAAACTCAAAATTAAAATTTGTGATCCAGTGTTATTACTTTTGATTTTTATTTGTCAAACTCGAAAAATAAAAATCATTATAGATTATAATAGGACGTACGAATACAAATATGTGAGTAAAGTTAAAATTGTTTTACGACGCTTACAACATGCTGATTTTTAAAAAATCAGCTGAAATTTTTACCCACTTCTAGTTTGTTTCTATTATTTCATTTACTTTTTATGAACATCACCACAACATAACATCAACGACAGAACGGATTTCAATAAAAGCAAGTCAATGCTTAAAACAGGATTTCGATACAAGCATATAAAATGTTTTTCTCAAACGATTCTCAAATTGTAAACGAGGTTTAAATTTTACATTTGAAATTCATCTGAGGTTGATTTAAAGAAACCAACAAGTGTCAATCGATATAAAAATTGTTAGAATAAAATTAAGATCAATTGAAAAAAAACATGAATAGAAAAAAATGTTCAAAGAGAAAGCCCACAAATACTGGATTTAACAGTCAAAAACAAACATATTTATTTAGTCATGTGCATACAGTGGCGAAAGTATAAATAGGGAAGAGATGTTTGAGAAATTTTTGGCTGTTATCCTTTCGTTTTTAATTAGATTTCTCAGAAACGCTACGAGCCGGCGAACTCACCACAGCGAAATTCCCGCTTTCAAAATTAGAACGCGCGTAACCATGTCAATTTGAACACAGCCAAAGCGAAATGCGAAATTCGCTCGGCGGCGCTTTGGGGAATAGATTTATTTCTATTGCCCCGCTGGACGATGACGGCTGTACATGCCAAAGGTGCCCATATTTTTTTTTTGCTTTCAAAATTTTAGAAGAACACAACATATAGCACGAATTATTTTTGTTGGTTGCACAATATAGTTATCGATTGGTTAAATCTGGCTTAATATAAAAAAATAATTTATAATAATTTATCTTTCTTTTATATATATATTGGTTATGATTTCCTCATTTTTAATCTGTTTTCGCTTTTTCTACATATGGTCACTAGCGTGGGCCGAAAGTCCCCTATTTTTGAATTTTGATTGGTAATAGCAAAAGTATGGTTCATTATGTAGGACTAATACCTTCGAATATACTTGCAATTTTATTTAAAAAAAAGTATTAATTAATTTTTATTTTTTGAGCACACTGAACTTTAATGGACTTGGGCAAGCCTAAGATATTGACCAAAAATTGTCATCTTTCACACAGATTGTTTTTAGAGCATAATGAACCATATTTTTGCTTTTACCAATCAAAATTCTAAAAAAGCGGATTTTCGGCCCACGCTAATGGTCACCCAAATTATAAAAGGGACAAAATGGTATCAGCTGTTTTCGCTACAGCTTTAAAGCTGATGCCACATAAAACTTTTGCTGCGCTTTACGTGACAGATTCGCTTTGACAGATAAGATGAATTGTATAAAAATGCACAAAGCATGCCACATAGATCGTTGAAGCTGCAGCGCGAAGCGAAAAGATGGCCAACTCCCATCTGTTTGCGCGCTTTGACAATCAGCCGGTTTAATATTTATTTTGCTTCGTCCAAATTCGAGTTTTCATGTAGAAACATAAAACTTAATCACATAGCTGATATTTTTAAAGCAAAATATACAAAATCCACTGCAATTTTGACGAGTAAAATAGCAGCACAAAATTGTTTTCTTGGCGTTCATTGTGGCATACCTTTTGCGTCTGGCGCTTTGCTGGCAAAGTAATAAACATCACGCAAAGCTACAAAGTTTCATCTGGCATCAGCTTAATTCTGTTTAAGTAGGCGAAATAGCAGAGCAAACGGTGAACGTAAGGCGAATTCATATAAGGGAGTGTTACCGGC